GCGCGCAGTCCAGGCGTATATCCGGAAAGCCCTTATGTGGAAATTTGAGAAAAATGCTAAGTTTTGCCTTTAAAATAAAATTAAGTTGACTTAGATCAATATTTTAGGTAAACGAATCCAGACCCGTATTCCGACGGTCCCATAGGGTCCGTAGTAAAATATGGGACTTGGGCGTATGCTCGGAATCGAATTTCGAGGACCCTAGTTTGAGAAAAGAATTTTGAAAGAATATTATTTGCTGGAAAATATAAAGACTTTTGGAAATGAAATGATGTGTGTTCTTGATAGTATCGGGCCATATTTTGGTTTCGGAGCCCGGTACAGGTTTAAAATAATATTTAAGTTGAATATGTGAAATTTGGTAAGAATCAGAATTGATATTATATAAATCGGACCTTAGGTTGAGAAAATGAAAATTTTGAACTATCTTATGAATTTCATGAATTTGAGGTTAAATTCGTAGTTATTGATGTTGTTTTGATGATTTGATCGTACGAGCAAGTCCGTATGATATTTTTAGACTTGTGTGCATGTTTGTTTTGAAACCTCGAGGGCTCAGGTGAGTTTTGGATAGACCACTGAGTGAGTTTGGACTTAGAGAAAATTGTTGTTGCAACTGGTATGTGTTGCAGGCTCTGATCTCGCAATTGCGAGGTCAGGCTACGCAATTGCGAGACCAACAGGCTTGGCAATTGTGAGGGCTTGATCCCATTTGCGAAGAAAGCCCAAGCCTACCTTGTTCGCATTTGCGAACTTTCATTCGCAATTGTGAATCCATCAAGGAGGGACAGTCATCGCAATTGCGACAAAATGCTTGCAATTGCGAAAGGAGCAGACATGCATTGGACGAGATTTCAACTTCATTCTTCAAATTTCGAACGCTAAGCATCCCTAGGCGATTTTTCAAAGACTCAAACTTCTCCAAATCATAAGTAAGTGATTTCTAACACATCTTCTTCAATCTAATTCATCTTTTTACATAATTTCACTTCAAAATCTAGGGTTTTTCATGGGAAATTGGGTGTTTTTGGGTAGAATTTTGGATTTTGGAATTTTGGGGATGTGGACCTCAAATTGAGGTCCGATTTCAAAACTAATTGTATATTTGAGTTCGTAGGTGAATGGGTGATCGGGTTTTGGTTCGAACTTCGGGTTTTGACTAAGCGGGCCCGAGGTCAATTTTTGACTTTTTGGGAAAAACATTGAAAAATCTATTTTCATGCATTAGAATTGGTTTATTTATCATTTATTAATGTTATTAAGTAAATTATGACTAGATATAAGACAATTGAAAGTGGAACCGAGAGGTAAAGCGGTAATTGAGGCTTAATCTTGTCCATGGAATTGAGGTAAGTGTTTGGTCTAACATTAGCTTGAGGGAATAGGAGTTGTGGTCTTATTTGCTATGTGTTAGTATTGAGTACGACATATAGGTGTGGTGACGAGTATCTATACGTTGGTGTCAAGCATGCCTGTAAGTCTAATACCATGATTGTTGTGACTCTATTATGCATTGTTCATGCTTAAATTGATAATTATCAATGTTGAACAAAGCTTATGATAATTTCTTGGTAATTGACCATTGTGGAGTATTTGCTCAAGTTGAGATTCATTTTTGTAAAGTAACTATTGAAACGAGATTGGTTATAGCTAATTCTCTTGCCGGGATATTATTGTTTATATTGTTGATTCCCTTGCCGGGACGTATTGTTTCTTTTGTTTGGGTGAGGAAGAGTATAAAGCATGAAGGTTGATGTTGTGCATGATGTTGTGAGTTAATGTTAATGCACTAAGGGTGATTTCGTGCCGATATTGTGAGTGTTAATGCACGAAGGGTGATGCCGTGCAGATATCTTGAGAGTTAATGCACGAAGGGTGATGTCGTGCCATGATTATGAGAGGTAATGCACGAAGGGTGATGCCGTGCAGATATCTTGAGAGTTAATGCACGAAGGGTGATGTCGTGCCATGATTATGAGAGGTAATGCACGAAGGGTGATGCCGTGCCGTTTCCGTTGCTTCATATGGTGAGAACAAGGGTAAAAGCACGAAGGGTGTTGCCGTGCACATGTTACTGTTTTCCTTATTCTTGCTGATTTAACTATGGTGTCCTTTATGTTTTTCTATTAGTTTATTGTTAGAATTTGATATTTCCCCCAGCATGTCCCCTTCCCATCTTATTTTGTTGATTCATGTTATTATGGTTTTGTTTGCATATGATTTAACTGTACAAGTATATAGTTGTCGTGCCCTAGCCTCGTTACTACTTCGCCGAGATTAGGCTCGACACTTACCAGTACATGGGGTCGGTTGTACTGATACTGCACTCTGCACTCTTTTGTGCAAATTTCGGTGCCGACCCGATGAGTAGCTGAGGTAGCTGCCTTCAGTCCAGGGAGACCAAGGTAGATCTGTTGGCGTCCGCAGAGCCTGAAGTCCCTTCCCTGTTTTAGCTTTATGTTGTCTCTTTTCATTTCGAGGACAGTTGTACTTTTCTTTCTAAACCAGTGTTTGTAGAAATTCGTAGATGTTTGTGAAATTATGACACCAGATTCGTGGGTAGACATGTATTAGATTATTTGAATTTGTTAGAACACTTCCGCACTTTTCATCTGCTTAGCTTTAGTTACTGTTTATATCTGTTTGGGTTGATTGCTAATGTGTTGAAATCATAGTAGTTGGCTTGCCTAGCTTTCACGAGTAGGTGTCATCACGACTCTCAAGGGTGGAAAATTCGGGTCGTGATAATTTTTCAACAATTTCATATTTCTATCACACAACGCCTCCACGTTAGTAGAAGACTACCTCGCATTTCTAAAGGAATATCAGAATGCTCATCTCCTTCATCAATCTCTGCAGTAATGTCTTCATTAGCATAATAGTTGAATTCTGTATCGGTAGAAGAATGCCATAGGATGAAATTATGTATAACCATGGTAGTTATAGCTAGATGATTCTGAGTGTCAAACTTGAAAGATGGTATTGAGCGTAAAATAGAAATACTTTTAAATATATAAAAAAATCGTAAAAGAAATAGTTAAGTATGCTTAAATTCTAATTCAAAAAGAGTAACTAATTATTAAACACAAAATGTATAATTTATTTATTTTAAAAAAAAATTAAACTAAAAAAAATTAATTAGTACCTAACCTTACTAACTTTGTCCCAAAATGCCAAATGACCTATTGTGAGGCTGCCACTTGACTTAATGTGGATGCATTTTCTTCTTCTTTTGATAATATATAGATAGATTATGAAATGCAATTGTAAATTTATTACCTATTTGTAAGTCATTTTCACAAATTAGATTTGATAATTGTTTTAAAGATTCGGGAACTAATGGCATATAATAGAAGAAATTATAAATGATTGTTTGTAGGAAGAGAATTAATAATTTGCTTTAGTTTGAAAAAAGAAGAAGATAATTTAGAAAGTTACAAGACATTACACAAAGAAAAATAAAAAACAAGAAATGTCAATAAAAATTTTGGAAAGTTACAATATGATTCATATATATGATATCTTTAATTTTAATAGAATGGTAAAAACTAGAAACAAAAATGAAAAGAAAAAACTAAAATTAATAAAGGATAATTTGAAAATTATAAATTTATGGTGAGGATAGTTTTATCTTGAATAAATTAATTTTCTACTTCTGCTTCTTAGAAGAAGCTAGAATTTTACTGCTTCTGCTGCTGGCCAAAAGTACTTTTGTGTATTGGCCAACAATTTTTAAAAAAGTACTTTGGGGGGGGGGGAGTACTTTTGGCATCCCAGAAGCTTGGGCAAACATGCTCTAAGTATATTTTTCTCAAAAGTGTTTCTCAAAAAAGTGTTTCTAGGAATGAGCTACTTTTCTGCTAATCCAAAATTGCTTCTGCTTCTACTCAAAAGCACTTTTTTTTCTTCTAAAAGCTCGGCCAAACACCTCAACTTTTCAACAAAAAAAAAAATACTTTAAAAAAACGCTTTTTAGGTTGGAGAAGCTTGGCCAAACAGGCTATAAGTCTAGTGATCGATATGGTGGAACTTCTGCTTATCAATTCTCGGTGTAACATATTAATTTCATTAATTAATTGGACTAGAATAGTTTGCAGAATGGGGTCATGTTTTCTGGATCTTTTGATTTTATCTTTAATTTTCAATAAAATTAACTTTGAATAAAACTGATTCATTTATGAATGCATTAGGTACGTTTCTTGTTAATCAGATTTTGGTAATTTTTATAATAAATTACATCATATAGCATTACTAGAATAAACTATATCATATAGCGTCTGTTCGATAAAGTAGACTGTAGAGTCTAAAATCAGTACTTGGTACATTATTCCTTGTGTATCACTATTTGCAATTATCACTTGTTTTTCCTTTGCAATTTTTGTTGTTTCAATTTTTTGAGATTGGAAAAACTTTCATATACTATAATTAGCGGTGAAGCCACATGGTCATAAGGATGGTCAACTGACCACCCTTTGTTGAAAAATTGCAATGTATATATAAGTAAAAAGATACATTTTAGAAGTATATAACACATATTGAACATCTTTTATCGGGAATTTTTTTTCATTTCTTTCAAATTTCAATACTCTTTGGGTGGCAGATATCTTACCATTCTTGGTCGTAACTTTTTATAGTGAACCTTGCATTCCTTCATTAAATATTTTTTTTATCATCGTGGCTCAGGTGGTGTTATTTGATAGGACCAAACCTGTTGTTGTATGTGAAAGTAGAAAAAACAAAAGAAAGAAAAATCAAAAAGAGATGAAAATATGATGTAAGCGCTTACATCGACATTCTTGTGATGTAAGCGCTTACCTCAGCATTCTTATGATGTAAGCGCTTACATCGACATTCTTATTATGTAAGCGCTTACCTCGGCAGGGCATTCAAATGCTTATAAATAGGGGTCTACATTTTCATTTGTAGATCATCCCAAAACTTCTTCTTTCTCTCTTCAATTAATAAAGAGCTATTCTTTGTGTGGCCGTGGAGTAGGCAAAAATTGCCGAACCACGTAAATCTTGTCTTGTCTTGTGCAATTTATTGTTTCTCTCCTAAATATTCTTTTCCTTCTATTATCTTGACACGCTTCCTCAACATTATTGACGTAAAAAAAATTATTCAAGAAACATCAAACGGACTTCACGAACATGTATTGTGCACCTCTTGGGCCTTCTAGCTCTATGAGTTGCATATAGATTGACATATTCATGAGGCTGCAAGGCAGTTCTTCTTGGTGAATCAGTGCTTGCGATTTTAGAAAGTCTAATGACAACTTAAATTTCATCATCTCGGCTATTACTGAATATGAGGTGGGCTTCATATTAGGCTGGTCCTTCTTTCTTATGCTACTTATATTATTTTTATTTTTAGATAGTAGAGGTAGTAGACTTGATTTCTCTCAAGAACTATTTGCATGCACGATGCTGTGAATCTGTCAGTTTAAGAAAACTAGTAAGCTAAATAAAGAGGTACTTATCTGATTGCATGAGAAGCTTAATTGCTTCACTTTTAATTAGATTGACTTGTGCTTATTATCTATTCTTTGATTACAGTGCTTTCACGTGCCAACTAGTATATACCTTGCCTTGCTTCACTTTTAAGAAACAAATTAGCACAAGGTGAACGGAAGAAGTTACCAGAGAAGACTAAATACATACACAACCTCCTAAATTTGTCCGATTTTTTTATTTAGGCACTTGAACTCGAGCTTCTACCTATTGAACACCTAAACTCTTCTAAAAGTGTGTCAATTATACACATTTTATTCAGACAACCAAAATATAAATGTGTGCATTTCACACGCAACCGACACGGCAAAAAGAACCAATGGTAACACATGGATTCATCTCTCTATCCCTCCATATTTGCTTCCAATTTCTTTGTAACTTTTCCTTAAAGTTCTATAACTTGCAAATAATGAAATTCAGTCCTCCATTGTGGTTCTATTCCTTCATATACGAGCTTGTTTGGATGGTTGTTACCTTTTGTATTGTATTGTATTGTTACTTTAAATATAATATTTGTTTTAATTGTTAATTACTCAAATTTTATTGTATTATATTGTTAAATTCGTCGTTACGTAATCACGAAAAGTGCCACTTTATGGAACGACCGATTTGGTGAGATCGCGTTATTCCCTTCTTTTTTCTCTCATCTTTGCCCTTCCATATTATTAAATAATTTAATTTTATCCTTTACCGTACTTTTTTATACAATAATTCTATTTCGTGCTTTAATTACTTTTTCTTTATAATATTGCAAGTTTATTATTCATAGTATTGGAGCATGACATTATGAAATGATGAAAAATAATACAATTTGTCTGAACATTGTATACATCAAAATGATACAGTACAATACTATATGATGCATTATGAAACAATACATAACAGCCATTCAAACAAGCTTTATCTTTTGCCCCTGACGTGTGATTTTCCCTTCTTACCCTCCCCTTCTTTCTATGAGCATATGACCTTTTTATTGTGATTTTAGGGTATCTCGATTTTGTGTTGAATTGTGAAGCTTAAGTTTTTATTTTTTTAATATTAAAACTTCAATGACCTTTCTCTTAATATTTGGTTAATGAAAATTCTTATCTTATCTCCCGATAGACAGGAGAAAAGGTGTTAGCTTTCGAACTTCATCTATTTTAGTGTTTGACTGAATTGGAGCCATTAGTTGATTGATTTTAGACACTAAGGGGTCGTTTGGTAGGGTGTATAACAATAATGATGAATAGAGTGTATTAATAATACAGAGATTAATAATGCATGTGTTAGTAATGCCACTAAAAGTCGCCACAAAAAACCTAATTTCTTGTAGTGACTGTTTGGTATGGTGTATTTAAAACTAAAATACATTGCATAGTTTTTTTAAAAATTAGTTGTTTACAAAAATTTCCTCTATATTCTTTAGCTTAAAGGGACTTTTAAGGATAATTTTATCTCTAATCATGCTAATGCATGCATTAATAGACTCGGTATTACTAATAACATAGTTTTCTATGCATTAGCCATATATAGGATAATATCAAATAGGATGTGTAACTAATACATGTATTAGTTATACATAGGTTGAAAAAGTATACTAAACAAGGTATTGCTAATACACAAAGCTAATGCATGCATTATTTTCTCTAAGTCCCTCTTCCAAACGACCTCTAAGTATAGAATTTTGCTGGGTTTTGTTTTCATCTTTGTTAGGTATTTGTCATGATTTTCTTATCATATTTGGTTTTCCTATCTTTTGAAAGAAAGAACAACATATTTACCATAATTGAGTTTTTCTTTTCTTAGAAGGAAATTATAAATATCCCATATTTGGTTAATCTTTTTTCTTGTAGGAAAAGCTTTGGACTTCTATAAATTGAGAATCATTCCTTCTCATTTAGCAGCATCCACAATTAGAAATATAGAGTTTGGGAGTCTTATTTAGGAGGAGAATTTTGGGACAAGTATCAGCTTGCTACTTGTGTTTGCCTATTCATGAGGCTGTTCTTTCGATATTTTATACTCTCTTTTATATAGTGGATTGCTCATCTTCGCTTGCGGACATAGGTCAACTGACCGAACCATGTTAAATGTTTGTGTCTCTTTTGACATATTTCTTTTTTGTTGTTTGATTTATCGTCGCTAAAGATTTATTTTACTAGCTTTCGCATGACACCTGATTATTTCGATCCTAAACAAAATAAATTTCCCTAAGATTTTTTTCAGAGTGTTCTTGGTGGGTGGAGTTTTGGTGGGAAAGTAAGAATTCGGTTTTTTGAAAACTTCCAACGAGTTGATCCGCCTTCAAGCAAAAACTGAGAAAAAACAAACAAAGAAAAAAAATGGAAAAAGAGAATGAGAGAGAAAAAAGGGAAGAAGAATTAACCATTTTTGAGATACTCCACTCGAGAGTGCAAACTACGCATTTGCCATATCAGCAAAATGTGTTTAATTGACACATTTTTGAAGGAATTTAGGTGTTTAATAAGTACAAACTCGAATTTAAGTGTCTAAATGAAAAAGTGGGATAATTTTAGGAAGTTGTTTATGTATTTGGCCTACTGGAGAATGGAAACATGAAACATAAGGAGTGAAAATATGCCTACAACTTCGACATCAGTTCAACTATATGACGAGGAAGTGAAAGTAATACCTAGGAGTGGCAAACGGGCGAGTCGGGTCGGATATGGTTCGGGTTGAAAATGTGTAATGAAAAGATGGATCAATTATCCGATCCGACCCATATTTTAATACGGATAAAAAACGGGTTAACCGGCGGATAATATGGGTTACCCATATTATCCAAGACTTCTTGTATATGATCACTTTTGGGAGAATTCTTAGTCTCTCTAACTTGAGGAACCCCCAATTTGAGGCTTTACAAATGTAAAAATTAGATCCATTGGTTATCCATGGTTACTCAATGGTAATCCATTTTCTAAATGGATAATATGGTTCTTATCCATATATGACCTGTTTTTATAAAGTTCATTATCCAACCCATTTCTTAGTGGATAATATGGGTGGTTAACTATTTTTTTGAACCATTTTGCTACCCCTAGTAATACCCAAAGCTCCTGTTTAAACTGTTGCCTAAATAAAAACGCAAAAAGAAAAAAAATCATAGCTAAATAAAGCCAAGGGTATAATTATAAACAAATATTTTATTTTAATTTATGTAATGTATATTAATTTCTAATATCATAAACCAGATATTCAAAGAAATAATTCATGCATAACTAATACCTACATAACTAATTATTACATAATTAATCCCTACATTATTAATAGCCGTATAACTCCAACCAACAATGATCCTAAGTGTTAATATATCATTACACTCGATTCTGTACTTAATGTGCAGATTATTGTAGCAAGCAAATGCTTTATTCCTAAATTTGGATTCAGATTCAAGTGCCACTTTTACATGGACGAATCACATCTTAGAATTAACATGGGAAAAGACAAAAAAGTAAGGAAGAAGATCACGTAAGAATATTGATTCTTGACATGACTGGAGATCTGGATGTCGTCATCATCAAATATTCGACACTTGGTTTTCTGCTTAATTACCTCTCAATCTTGGAGTTTTTAACCACTTGTACAAGTTCTTGGCATAAAGAGTAACTACAGAAAGTAAAGTTGACTAGCTTCTGAATTCTGCAGAAAAACTCGAACTATACTCATGAGATAAAGTAATAGAGTCAATTTGGCACTAGAGTGGCCTTATTTAGGGTACTGATATATGTAAAGAATTTTTTTCAAGAAAAGTTCCCGCGAAGGCTGAAGCAAAAAGAATATAGTATACCTTCAACATAAAGTAAAGAAAGCAAAAAGTGCCTTGTTTGCACACTCAATGAGATTCAGGTCTCTCATCTCCCTTGTCTCTCTTTGCCTCTCTCTCTCTCTCTCTCTCTCTCTCTCTCTCTCTCTCTCTCTCTCTCTCTCTCTCTCTCTCTGTTTCTTCCTCTTGTTCTCTTTAATTTCCACCATTTACCATACTTTAACAGAAAGCCATCTTAGCTCCCCCTTTGTTAGTTCTTCCCTCTTTTAGAGTTGGATATCAAAAAATCTCCTCTCGTTCCTAGGATTATAACACGCATAATTATTTATATAGCCCATGCATGCATAAAAGAAAAGCATCGTTCTAGTGTTTCGACTCTGTTTCTCGGCAGTAGAATGCAAATTCACAAATTTCTACAATTGAGGTTGGTCCATAGGGTTGTGCTGTTGATTTTTCTATGCTTGTTGGTCGTCTCTACAGAAAATAATGACTCATTGCTCGTTGACATGTACAAGACGACATCATTTGAGGAACAGCGACAGCAAAAATGGAAGCTGATGAGGCAATCTCTTGAGGTGTACTTTGCAACCAAAAGAAGAGTTCCCAATGCAGCTGACCCTCTTCATAATCGTTGAAAATCTCTCAGTTTTAATACTGTTTTTTTTTACTATTCAATGTTCATAGTCACCATATAAATATTTACCAAATTAGTCAATTATTGGATTTCCAGCTACTTTTTCTTTTGCCTTCTTCTGGTCTTTTAATATCGTAAAGTGTAACTCTTAAATAAAGCATGAATCAGATATGGAAAGATCCACACATGCCACATATCTTATTCTGTAAAACCCAGAAGGTTATACGTAAAAAATGACTGATATTAGCATCCTGCCTTGAATATTTAGGGAGAAGATTTTTCAAAAGAAGAATTAACCTAAATAGCCGTGCATCGATACGGTAAAAAAAGATAGCTGGTGGATATATAATACTATAAATATAATCGCTTTATGATATGCATATAACTTTGTACAAACATTGTATAATTTATGTAATATATCAACTAGAATAAGTAAATAGTGATTTCGGCCGCCTGCTTGAAGAAAAGTCATATATTTGTTGACCGGATACGTTATAGGTAGTAGTGGAAAATGGGCGGGTTAGATCGAATTTGGGCGGGTTAGAAACGGGTTGGATAAAAATGGGTTGGATTGAAATATGCCCATATTAATACGGGTAAAATACGGGTTGGGTAAAATATGGGTTGGGTAAAAATGGACACGATCCATTTTATCCATTTTGTGTTGCGCAGCAGATCAATCATCATCATTGATTTATATTTTTAACAGAAAGTCAGTAGCTCGCACATTTATTTATAACTCGCATGCGTTGCCTCACTAAACAAATCTGAGTCTCATTTTCTTTTTGATCCAATATGTAACATTACACATTTCTAATTTTAAATGTATGATACAAAAATTTAACATGCCCCACATTTTTTTTGTCTTTCTTCGAACTTTATCATACCCTTAATCTGGAAAACAAGAAATAGATTGCCATTACAAAGTGAAAAATAATGCAAAATCACTTCAAACATTACAGTGAATGAAGTGGTTTTAGATTAAATAAAGTACTGCCACAAAAAGCCAACCTAACTACTCTAGTAACTAAACATGGCCTTACAAAGTTGGAGATCGCAGGCAATAACCAACATTGGAAATTCTCTTGATCGTCGAACTAACTATAACTATTTTTACACAACTACCTATCAACGCGAACCAAGTTATCAAGATATGGCTGAAGGTCTACCACAATTTCATCTTCATCGGTGTATGATTCATTACAATCTTACAAAACAAACAAGAAAAGGTAAAATTAATTTATTGGAACACTATTACAAAAGAACAAAACAAAACAGTAATATAAATATAATGATTTACCTTCTTGTTCGCAAAGCCAATCTCTAATACACAACTTTGCCTCCACATTTGCAGATAAAATAGAGCTTTAAAACTTTCTAATAATACGACCTCCAATGCTAAAGATAGACTCTGAGGCAACAGTGGTAATAGGTATGCTCAAGACATCTTGTGCCATCAATGAGAGTTCTGGAAACCTTAGTCTATGACTCGTAGGTGTGTTTGCAATAGGCATGTGAAGATCTGTTTTGGTGGACAGCAGACCACCGGAGTTTGCTATGACATATGTTTTATTATGCGGCGTCTTCCTGAGATTCCTTGAAAGGCGAAGTAAGGCTAAGAAACTGATGTTAGTGCAGTCACTATCCGCCAGCTAAGGTCCCCTCCGTACGCTAGAGGAGATTGTCAGTGTCGTACTGAAAACCAATGTCAAGAGCAATTAAGAGAACAGAAGTGAGAATTGAGAATGAAAGAAAGCTTGATTGCATTAATGAACAGAAAAGCAACACGGTGTCGAGGGGGAGTGACACCAGTACAGAGAATTGTTTGCTTGCTAGAAAGTTTGATTGTTTGATCCCCCCTAATAGTGCTTTAAAAAATAAACCAAAGTTACAAGACTAGACTTAACTAAGCTAGAGAAACATAATGGAAGTACATAAAATAAAACTACTCTATATTTACAATGAAAAGGACTTAGTTTTCTACAAGGCAGAAACAGGTCCGTTGTCAGCAACATTGTCTTTGGCATCACGGTCTGCGCGTGCGCCTTTGTTGGCATTTGTCTGCGGCGGGGCACTGGCGAGAGATATCGATGGGGCGACAGAGACATATGCACGTTTGTCACTTGGAGTAGCCAAGACCACGGGGTCGTCCGTGGCCTTAGGCGTTGGGAGGCTTGCTAGGACGCCACTGGGTGCGCCCAAAGGGTCATGGGGCATGGCTAAAAAGCCGCCCATGATATTCTCGGTGAGTTCGGGTTGTGACATTCTGTAAGGCACCCGGGCAGGTGGCTTCGCGCCTGGCACCAACTCAATCTCATGGTCCATAGTGCGCCTAGGCGGGAGTCACTTTGGCATGTCTAGTGGCATGACATCTTCAAATTCCAGTAGCATCTCCTTCACGGGTACAGGAATAGAACCCAAGGAGCGTTCTATATCTTCAATGCAGAGGGTTTCCAGGAATGCGGGTTCATGTCTTTTGACCCCCTTCTTCAACTGCAAGGCCGGGATGTTCTGAGCGACCATCTTCATGGGCATGCACAGGACAATACAGGGCTTGGCCCCATTTGTTCCCATCATCAGTAGCATATCGGCATACGATACAGCCATGGTGTTGGTTTGCCTTAGGAATTCCAACCCAACTATCAACTCGAAGTCATATATGATCACCACGCGTAGGTTGAGTTTTCTTTCGTAAAGGCCAAGCTTCACTGGTACCTCTTTGGCTATTCCGCCCACTGGCTGAGGAGCTGAGTTAATAGCCTTAACACGACCTCTGCCCTTTCCTACAACTAGACCAAGGTGCTCCACCTGAGTCGAGGTTAAGTAGTTGTGGGTAGCACCCGTGTCTATCATCGATCCAATGGGCTTGCCATTTACCTTCATCTCGACGAACATTAAGGTCCTCTCTTGTTTAAGAGGAGTCCCCTCATCCGCCTTGTTTTTCCCTTTCTTAGTGCTTGGACAAGGGTCCTTCTTCTTACAGATACCAGCATTGGTTCCCGCTAAGGCCTCAGAAATAGAGCCAACAATTGCATTGAAGGTACCTACTGGTTCGGTTTGTCTGCGTCGTTTGTGTCATCATCGGTCCCATCATCAACAGCTTGATGGGCATTTAACTAAGCATGTGGACATTCATTATTCCAATGTGGTTCGCCACAATGACGACATCCTGAAGGGGGTTTTCTCCCCCGATCATTATTGTTTGACACAACACTATTGCTGCTTGAGGAGGGAGCCTTAAATTTGGTATTACTCCGATCTCCTCCACTTCTGCTAGGGCCACCATTGCTAGTCTGGCCCCCTTTGTATCCCGATCGGGTAAGCGGATGAGGCATATCCTTCCGAGCTTCCACTTGATAGTCCCCAAGGCATTCCGCTGCCTAGATTGCCTTGGTAGGGTATCTACCCTTTGTCTTTGCAGCTCCATACGGGCATAAGGTTTCGATCCTTCCAGGAAGGTGAAGAGTTTTTCTTTGTCCCCAATATCACATATGTTCAGCATGAGTGCGGAGAATTTCCGCACATAATCCCGCACTGATTTGGTCTGGCGGAGCTCTCGTAGTTTTCTCCTTGCATTGTACTCAACATTTTCGGGGAAGAACTGTAGACGTATTTTCTTTCAGTTCTGCCCATGTCTCGAGAGCATCTTCACCGGCCGTGATGGCTTCGTACTTCACCCACCACCAGAGTTTAGCATTACTTTGAAGATACATGGCAGCAATTACTACCTTCTTGGCTTCTTCTAGGCCTCCCACGGCATCGAAGTACTGTTCAATGTCGAAGATGAAGTTTTTCACTTATTTGGCATTGTGAGCTCCACTGTATGGCTTTGGCTCAGGAATTTTCAGTTTTTGTGCCGCGGGGGCGAGGTTCATAGAACCCCCGATTTGGTTTCTGCCTCCTCGAAGCAGGCCTTGTAAAGCAGTAATGACAACATTGAGATGGCTTGTCAAGTTGTCTATAGTTTGTTACGTGGCAGTCACCCTGTCCACCTCTTGTGCCTTGTAGGCTAAATCCTTGACACACTCCTGTTGGAGGCTCTTAAATTTGCCAAAAATTTTGGCCTCCTCTGTGGCTTCCATTTGTCGGTCTCCTTTGGAGTCGCGAATGATGTTTTCTATGTCAACTTTGGCCTGGAGCATTCTGTGGTCTAGGTCGTCCAACCTTTACACTAGGATGGTTCTTATTTCAGGTACCGTATCCACGATGGGCCATAATACGTCAACCATCTCTTCGAGGGCCGCAATACGGTCCCCATGATTCACAATGGTCAGAAATGATGGTAATGGCAACGTGTTCCCTCGTCTGATATCGAGCCTAGGCTCTGATACCAACTATTACGTAGTGCCTTCCTGATATTCCTTGGAAGGGCGACGTAAGGCTAAGCAATTGATGTTAGTGCAGTCATTATCCGCCAATTGAGGTACTCTCCGTACACTAGACGAGATTGTCAGTGTTGTACGAGTAAACCAATGTCAAAAGCAATTGAGAGAACATAAATGAGAATTAAGAATGATAGAAAGCTTGATTGCATTAAGAAAGCTATTACAGAAGCAACGCGGTGTTGAGGGGGATAGACACCAGTACAGAGAATTTTTTGCTTGCTAGAAAGTTTGATTTCTTGATCCCCCTAATAGTGCTTAAAAAAATAACCAAATTTACAAGACTAGACTTAACTAAGATAGAGAAACATAATGGAAGTACATGAAATAAAACTACTCTATATTTACAATGAAAAGGACTTAGTTTTCTACAAGGCAGAAATAGGTCCGCTGTCAGCAACATTGTCTTTGGCTTCATGGTCTGCGTACGCGGTGCTGTTGGCATCTGCCTGTGGCTGGGCGCTGGCGAGGGATATCGGTGGAGCAGCAGAGGCACATATGCGCTTGTCACTTGGCATAGCCAAGA